AAAATCCACAATTATTTAATTAAGCACATTATTAAGGAGGTTTTTTTTTTTTTTTTTTTTTTTTTAATGTTCCAGGCACTGCTAGAGACTAGGGACGTGACAATGAATGCAACACACATGGGCCCTGTCTTCATGGAACTTGCATCCAGGATGGAATATGCAAGAATCTGAACACTATATTAATCATTAGAAAAGATGACAGATACGTGTTTGTTGACATGCAAAGATTTTCCCAGTATGTTGTGTTGAAAAGAAAGGCTATAATATAGCATGTACAGTTTGATTCAATTTGTAGAAATAAAAAATGTATATTCATTTATGTATATACACACATGCAAATATGTGTATTACATACATTTTAGCACTATATAACACACACATATAATATATAATGTAATGTATGCACTATATACATTATAAACATTTAGGGTAGAACAATAAGCATCAAAATATTAACAGTACATAGTTCTATAAGATGGTCTTATTGGTGCTCTCTAATTTCATTTTTTATACTGTTTTTTGCATTTCCAAATGGTTTTGCATTGAGTATATATTTACAATTAGAAAACATTAATAAAGCTCTTTCAAAGCAGAGTAATACAGCCATTAAATTAACATATGCCTAGGTGTCCCTTCAAGTTCTTACCTCTTTATATCTCAAGGGCCACATTTCTTCCCAATTCCCTCATCATACCTTAGATTCCAGTCTTATTCAACACGTGCTTGCAAAGAACCAGTGATTTCTTGGGTCTCAGTGCCTTTGCAGATTCTCACCCACCATTGTCTGGAACACTTCCCTCCTCTTTCACTTGGTTACCTACTTCTGGTAGTTTAGGATTCATCTCAGGTGACTTTACTTAAAAGCACCCCTCCCCCAACTCCTTGCCTTCAGACTATGACAAATGCCTCTAATGCCTCTCCTCTTTACTACCACAGCACACTACAGTTTGTGTACTGTAAACTTATTCATCATGTAAATGGAAAAATACATTTAATATTACTTTTCTCCTTTTCCTGCCTTGTTGTCTCTCATCAGCAGCTCATCCCTTTGTACTCTCTCCTCACTCATCTGGTTCCACTTGCACCAGCCTTTTTGCTTTTTCAGAAGGGCACGGATGTCACCAATTTAGGGCTTTTACACTGGCTGTTTCCTCTGCCTAGAATTTATTCCCCAAGATATCCACAAAGTCATTCCCTCTCTTCTTTAAGTCTTCGCTTAAATGCCCTGGATTAATAAGGCCTTCCCTTACTAACCTCTGGGGGTGGGGGGCAACTCCCTATTTCTCATCACCCATAACTTTCTGTCTATACCATATAATTTTCTATTTTGTTGTTAATGTTTACCTTCCGTCTTCCTTGACTAGAACGTGAGCCACATGAGGACAGGGGTCTATGTCTCTTCGGTTACTGATGTGCCTCTTGCACCCACAACAGTGCCTGAAACACAGTAGGGTTTTAATCAATATCTGTTAAGTGAGAAATAAACCTTACATCACAGAATTCCTGTTCATTTTTACTGTCAAATAAAAATAAATCCAGGTTTATGTAAGAAGCAACTTTATTTGAAAAGACCATTACAATAGGGAGAATGCTCTGACCACAAGTTCTGCAAGTGTCTCGAAATTGAACAGAAAAAGGTATTTCTTTTATAGGCAAGGGTAATCAGGGATAGCAGGAACTTTGTATGGGGGGGCAAGTGGTGGGAGTAAGCAGAGAGCATGATGGGAACAGGAAATGTTTCTGTGATTAGCCTATTTTCAGAATGAGCTGTTAAGGGAGGTGGGGAGATGTCTGTATCTTAGTGCTTACTTAAGCCTAGGGGTGAGCCAAAGTTCAAGAGCCTATGGGGAAGAGAGAACCCTGAATAAAATTTGGTCAAGCCAAGTCAGTGGTTATGTTATGGATAATTATGACACTTGGTCAGTCCCTGCTGTTGTTTAAGATAGGCAAAGGCTGTCCTTAAACACTATTATGGACAGAGTAAGAGTCATGGTGAGATTAAGGTTGGTCAAAGTAGTTTTCAGGGGTGGGCTGGCCTTCACGTTCTTGTTGTTTTTGAAGGATTAGCTATAATACATGTTGAGCATGTTGTCGGCTGACAGCTGTTCGAGGATCTTAGAGATAAGGCACTGGTGAGAGGTCTGCCTGGAAATATTATAAAAAGAATAAATATTAATGGCTGAATAAGGGAGTAAAACCAGGATTTGAGGTCGGAAGGGAGTCAGTCAAGAGGATTTCAGGACATTGCACCCAAAGTGTCCTTAGATGGCAGAGTGAGAATGGCAGTGGTGATCTGATGGATTTTCCAATCTGCCTTTTGAATATTTTGGTGATGGCATAGACATCAGTGATGTTTTGGGAACACATGCACAGCAGCCACTTTTGACCACTGACCACTGTTTAAGTGCCCCTTTGGGGAACCAGAATCATGTCCAATACCAGACTATTCTAGAGGCCACTTGCTGGAGTTGATGTAGCTCTATTGCAGTCATGTTGGTGGTTTCATTAAGACTGTTCACAGTCCTAGTTATTTCCAAGAGCAAAGCATGGAAAATGTGGGAGTTTGTAAAGAATTTTAGATCTTTCAAAAGTAAGAAGACTTTGGTTTCTTATACAATCGAGGACATGATAAAATCAACATAAAAGCCCAGGGAATTACGCTGATAAGACACAGTATTTTCACCTCTTAGGCGAATTACTTAGAAGTCAAAGACAAAGTTTATAATTTCTTATTAAGAGTAGACCAACAATCCAAGGAAATTTTGTCATTTAACAGAGAAAAAAAGAAATTCCAATTCTGCATTAGTATAATATTTAATATTAAGGTTTATTTTAAAAATTTATAAATAAACCCATTAATCCTTCACCAATTTTGATCACAACAAATAAAATTCCCCTTTACATTCCATTTAAGTTTAATTCCCCTTAAATTCCATTTAAGTTTTATCCTACATTTTTAAAAATTTTGGAACAACCAGTCATTTTACCTTAAGACAAAACTTTTTTTCCTTAATAAAAACATAACTTGTATACCTTGCATACAAAGTTGTTCCTATATGCTACCATTGCTCCTAGTAGAGTTTTATTCACATGTATTGATTATAACATTTATTCACAGTAACTTTTATTTCAAAGAATACTGGGAGGTAGATAAATGTGAACTGTCTGTCATACATCAATATTTTGTAGCAGACCACCAGAACTTATGAATATACATCTCACAATTTTTTATAGCCATAACTATCCCTTATAGTACAACTTTTCAATGAGGCAAAAACAATATGTTCATTAATAGACCCAAACATACATAGCCTTAAAAGTATGCTTAGTAATTAATATTTCAATATTTTATCTTATTTAGAAATGATCTAATTATTTAATGAATATTCATTAATTAGTTTAGCATAAGTGTAAGGCTTTAACTTACCAAAAGATCTTGAAAACTGTTTTCAAGCTGACATATTACAAAACATAATTAGTGTTAAAATAAAGTTTGTCAGGATATTGATTTAATTTGGTTAAACATGAATTTACATTTTTTATAATCTTAAATATTTAATAGATGTAATACTATTCAATCAGTAAACCTGTATAAATTTAGGGAGAATATCCCAAATAAAATTAAAATGTAGGCTTATATTTTACCTAAACTTGGTAACTCAGAAGACACAGCTGAGTTTATTCAACCAATAATATTAAATTAGTCTTGTTTGCCAAGATTTACTTCAATTATGTGAATTTGAGTTTTTAAACTATTTGGATTAGTTTCTATAAGAATATTTTTGAAAGTCTTAGATGTTACATTTCTTTAATTTTTGAGCATTTTATGAATATTTAATTTATAGAAGTGCTTATTTATCTCTAAGCCAATAAGGATAGAGTTCCCTTAAGGCATTTTATAGTCTAATATGGTAATACTTTCTGGAGGTAGGAAAATAACACACATAATATACATACATACATACATACATAGACATACAGCCAGATGCAAATAGAGAATAGCTTTACTTTTAAAATTTTAACTCATTGGTTTATATAACAGAGCTGGCCCTTGCCTTTGACCAACTTTACATTTTTTTCAAAAATCAGGATTGCATTTCTGGTAGATGGGGCAAGTTTAGGTTACCTACTCAATATGAGAGCTGAAGTGTCCCCAACAATATTAATGGAGGAGACCTTTAAGATTTTCTTTGTGTTGTGTAATCTTATGGAGGCTGTGGACTGAATTTTGGGCGGGGGACTGAGGATACACCAAATGACCATCTGGGTGTTTCTAAAGCTCATTGAGTTGATATAACATCCAGCCTGTTTCCAATTAGCTTTTTCTGCCTTAAGCGTTTGCTCTTGGGGTCCTTGAGCCCCTCAAGAGCCCCCAACAAGGATAGGGGGGCCTAGAGCTTAAGTGACTCTAGGATGTTGAAGGGCTGAAGTGGGATGGAAAAGGTTTGGCAGAGGTGGATAGAGGGATGGAGGAGGTAGGAGTGTTGAAGGCAGACAACAGATCAAAGGATTTGCGGGAGCTGAAGGGAACATTTAAGGGTCATGAAAAGGAGGAAGGAAGGTGGAGGGTGAGGTGATGGGAAGGGATAGATATTTGATGAGCCACTATGGGGAGATCCCATGTTTCCCAAAGAGATCACTGTAGTTCTAAATTGTCCTTAGTAAATTCTGCCACTTTTGAAGATATTGAAATGAATTAATGTCATAATGATAGATCATATAGTCAGCAGGGAAAGAAGAGGGAGGACACCCAATAGAGTGAGAGTTACTCATGGGATTAGTTAATTATTTCAGAGATAAGACCTTAAAGGATCCAGGAAAGACTCCTGCTCCATTACTGCCTTGTACAGTCCCCGCCTGAAGGGCCAAGAAAATTCCCTCCCCCAATCCCCACTAGGGGACCCAAGGTAAAACAGAAGAGTCCTCACACAGAAGAGTAGGGAAGGTTCCTACTCAAGAGTCATGGAATGATGCCCCACTCAAAATGCCAAAGAAAAATTTCTTTGCTCAAAAGAATCAAATTAACTCCTTACCATGCTGTAACAGAGATGACGCCCAGAGCACTGTTTGGAGAATTGAATTCACCAAAGCATTCCCGAATTCATGAATAAGAGAGGAGTTCAAAGGATTTGCAAGGTTCAAATCCATTAGTTCTCTGGGCAGGGATGACAGGGTTCTATAAGTGAAGTCCAATCTTGAGTCGCATCATGGCACTATACAACTGTCAAAAAAAATAAAACAAAACAAAACAAATCCAGACAAGTAAAGAGAGACTTTATTGGAAAACACTATTGCAATAGAGAGAATGCTCTGACCACAAAATCTAGAGGCATCTCAAAATCAAACAGAAAAAGGCTTTTTTTTTTAATAGGGAGGGATAAGTAGGGCTAGCAGGAACTTTTCGGGCGGTGGGAAGCTGTGGGGGTGAGAAGACAGCATGATTGGGGGCAGTTTAACAGGAAACGTTTCTCTTGTGAACAGCCAGGGATGAGCTGCATCTTAGTGCTTGCTTAAGCCTAAGAGTGAGACAAAACTTAGGGGTCTGTGGAGCGGAGAGAAGCTAATTAACCTTTGGTCAGACCAGTGGGTTACCTATGAGTAACTTTGTGAGCACTTGGTCATTACCATTCTGAAAACTCTTTCTGAATTCCCACTTTGTGTCTGTCTTCAAGTTGGTATTGCTCAGTGTTCTCAAGAACAATAAAAAAAAAAAACAACATACTTTAGAAAATCAAAGTCTCAGAGTAGCCAAGTTTCTAGTGTAACCATGTCCTCAGCTTCTCAGACTTCAGTGTTCTCTAGTCAAACTTCAAGGAGATCCGAAACTTTTTTATATGTCACAGACATGTTTACCCAGAGCTATTTCCGCCACTATCTTAAAATAACTACATAATCATTATCAGTAGCTTTAATTAAGTAGATATTTCACAACAATTTTTCTGAGATAATCTCAACCCCCTACACAGACACTGTCACTGAAATTTCAGGTGAAATTATAATCACTTCTCTGCAAGACGAGATCACCACGTCCCAAAATTTACTCAAGGTTCAGACTACTCCTTTCCACATGTGCTGAATGTGACCACTGCAGCCACTATCCCCACAGGAAATGGCACTTGGTAAGGCACTTTTTTTTTCAGATAGGTCTCATATTCTTAAAAGAAATTGAATATGTCTCAGGATATAGAGTAAGAAATATCTGGATAAAACAGTGTTGCTTGCTGGTTTGGAACACAATCTCTAATTACATATAGGAGAGTTTTTTTCTTTTTGAAGGAACCAGAGGCAGGAGCCACCTTGACTACCTGATTCAGGACTATTGGGCATGTCTCCGCCATCTTTACCACCATAGTCCTGTCTGAAGTCTTTTTTTCTTGTCCCTGACTGAAAATACTGACATTCACAAAACTGACAAAAGCCTTAGGCTACCTGCATGGAATGAGGTAAAGCTTGTTAGCTCCCAGACCCTTGGCCTTTGCCTGGCGCTGGGGGAACTACATTACCCAGAAGGCTCTCCACCGTGAGCATCAGTGTCGCTGGGCCAATGAAGAACTGGAGAGGGACGTTTCCGTGTATTACGCTCCACTCAGGGGCGGGACTTCTGGCATTGTTCTCCTGGCGGCCATTTCATCTGTTCTTGGGTTGGTCCATCGGATCAGAGGCTCCGTAGCACTGTGTCACACCCGGGGTGACGGGGCAGAAAGCGTTGTCCCCATTGCACAGAGGCAGGTTAGAGGCTTGGCAGTGTCGCCGCTCGGTGTCTCCCCGCCGCCCCCGCCCTTGTCGCCCGCCGCTCACTCTGCCCACAGGCTCCGATGGCGGCGGCTGCGCTGTTGCACCCGGCGCAGGTGGGTGCTGCCGTTCTCAGGTCTTCACCCGACCCGACTCCACCTCCGATTCCTAAAGCCCACAATGAGGGCGCCTGCTTAGGTCATTGAAGCCCAGGCGGCTGTGTCCAGGACAGTGGGGTGCTCGTGAGTGGGGCCCCCATTTCTGACAGCCGGTGAGAGAAGATGTGGGAGAGGTGCAGGCAGAGGGACCAGCAGGTGCAAAGGGTTGGATGTGCGACTGAGTTGGGAGCATTGAGGAAACCTCGAGGGAAACCTAGGATTTCTGGGGCATCTGCAAGGAATAGAGCGTGAGGGGAGGAGTCACACGTGGAGTGACAACGTGAACAACTGGACCTTCATTCCTAGGGCGCTACAAGCCATGGGGAGTTGTGAACAGAAGAGGGACACAGTCTGGGTTAGGATTTTAAGTTTCCCATAGGTTGCTCAGGGGAGGTTGCGGGGTGGAGGGAGACCAATGAGGAGGCTGCTGCAATAGACTCCAGGAGAGTTACGATGGAGTCCAGACCAGAGGGATGGCGGTAGAGGAGGGCAAAGTAATCTGATTCCAGATAGATCTTAAGGATAGAGCCCTCAGGGTTTCCTGCTGCATCAGATGCTGTGAAGAAAGTAGGGAGTGAAGGACCATCCTAAATTCTTTTTCTGTTTGTTTCTTTTTATTTTTGTTGAGGAAGATTGGCCCTGAGCTAACATCTGTGCCAGTCTCCCTCTATTTTGTATGTGGGCCGTGGCCACAGTGTGGCTTAAGCGGTGTGTAGGTCCCCTTGTAGTTCCGCACTCGGGATCCAAACCTGTGAACCAGGGGCTGCTGAAGCGGAGCTGGAAAACTTAACCACTACCCCACTGGGCTGGCCCCCCCTCTTTTTTTTTTTTCTTTTTTGCTGAACATCTGAGAGAATGGAGATAGAGAAGTTGGGTGGAGGGAGCAGATTGCTGAGGAAGTTCAGAGGTTGGAGTTTGGGCTTGGTGATTCTGAGATGTTCCAGAAGTGTGTGTGTGTGTGTGTGTGTGTGTGTGTGTGTGTGTGTGTGTGTCACATGGACAGCTGGACAGGCAAGTCTGCAGTTCCAGGAGGGGTCTAAACTGGGGATGTCCAAGGGGGCTTTAGATCAGGACCAGGGCATAGTCTGGGATCAGATTTAGGAGAGGGAATCTTAAGGTTGTTATTTCAAATGGGCCTGAAGTGAGAAAGGGAGAGAAAGGCTGGAGCGTAGGCACAGGGGGTGGGCATCCCTAAGGCTGCCTCCAGAGGGGAGGGGCCTTCACTGCCAGTCGGTTCTCTCTGTTATCTGAGGGAGGGATGCCTGTACTGGGTAAGGAGCCAGAGCTGGGGGATGGTGTATATATCTTGTGAGTTCGGCAGGACCTTGTGTCTACTCCCTGTGAGCAAGAGAAGAGTCACCTGTGCCAGTGGAGCAGACCCGGGCAAGGGTATGTCAGCTCCTCCAGCTCTTCGAGTCCCTCAGCAGGAGGGATGATCCAGTGTTCCAATGGATGGTTCCTTGAGCAGGTTTGCCTTCAGGAGAGCATACAGCAGGCAGGCTGCATCCCACTGGCCTGCTCAGACTCACCCCCAGAATTGACTTATTTATTTATGAAACAATTGCTTCTTTAAACATTTATCTAAGTAAAAACACACAATAGACATTTAAAACTCGTGGATTAAACTATTTAAATTTATGCCCATTTTTAGTAATTGTTTGAAAAGTTACTATACCTCTAAACATTTGATTAAAATCAAAAGTCTTAAATATCCCATTCTCTTAAATGCTTAAAAAGTGGGAAAACCACCTGTATTTTCAAAAGCTTGTCACCTTGTTCACACTGAAAACATCTACCAAAGTGTTAATCCTGTGGACAGTAAAGGCTGATGCTTAGCAATTGACATGTACTAAAGCGTTTGATACCAACAACTGCCCTATGAGATGGGTGCCATTATTATGTCCATTTGACAGATGAGGACATCGAGGCACAGAGAGGTTGAGTCTTGCTGTAAGTTCATGCAGCTTGCATGAGGCAGCGCGGTAATTTGAACCCAGGTGTCCCTCTGGATGTAAACATACACCAGGCCTATTTAACTCTCTAACAGTCATCCTGTTTACTCGCATCATAGCCCTGATAGCTGTCAGGAATTGCCTTATGTTTTCATTAGTTTTCCACATGGCTCCATCTCTCACTTCAGTCCAGGCTCGCCCCAGTGTCCCCTCCTCTGGGAAGCCTTCCCTGAGTGCCCGTGGAAAATCGCCCTCAATCTCTCTTGTCTCCTCACTCTTATTTTGTTGTCTTTAGGATTCTCTTGATCATTTATTTATTTCCTTTGGATGATCTGTCTCTATCCCTGGAACGTGAGCTCCTGTTCCTGCTCTATCCCCAGGCCTAGAGCAGTGCTGGTCTGTAACAGGTTCTCAGTAAATGAGTGAGTGATGCTCCCCTCCAGAGGCTCCCATCACTCTTACAATAGACCCAGCCTCTCTACCATGCCTTGGAAGTTCCCATCTGATCTGTCTGGGGGGCCATCTCTGACCTTGTCCCCTCCTATTCTTCCCTTGCTCACTGCCACCCAGCTGTGCCAACCTGAATGTGCCAGGCTCTTTCCCACTTCCAAGCCTTCGCCCTCAGGGTTCTCTCTGACTGGTACACTGTCGCTACATCTTTCCTTGGCCGCCCTTTCACATCCTTCCAGGCTCTGCTCAAATGTCACCTGTTTGAAGAGGCCTTTCCTGGCAGATCTAGCTAAAATAGCCCCTGTCCCAGCCTGCCCTCATTTTGGCATTTTTGTGCCAGGAATTTGGCACAGGTACAAAAGCAAAGATGCAGGCTGGATTGAGCTTTTCCAGATTGCTGAGGGAGTAAATAGCAAAAATCCTAATAACAAAAGAACCATAAGAGTTGGCCTTCATTGAGCCCTTGGTAGGCACAGAGGGGCAGTTATTATGTAGCACCTCATTTAACTGTCACCTGCTTACAAGTAAATTCTGTTATTATACTTACTTTATAGAAGGGGACTTGAGGCTCAGAGAAGTTAAGTTACCTATCCAAGGTCACACAGCTCTTAAGTAGCAGAAACTCAAACTCAGTATGTAAACCAGCAGAGCTTCTACTCTTAACTGTGACAATACCCACAGTGGGTGGGGAGGCCTGGGAGTGACACCTAAAGTCAACTTTGCCGAGTGGGTTTAGGCTTAGGAATGAGGACGGCATGGGGGGCATTCCAGGCAGAGGGGACCACATGGGAAAAGGCAGGGATATAGATTATTCAGGGAGGCATGAAAGGGCCTGTGTGGTTGCTGAGGGCCCCCTCCATCTGCTGAGACATGTCCTGGATGGCAAGGTTGTGAGACCGTTTGCTGGATGTTCATCCCGCCCTCGTTATGGTGATGGAGGAGTATGGAGGTATACACACAGAGCCTGAACCAGAGGGACCTGGGTTCCCATCTCTGCTTATTAGACCTGTGACTCTGGTTGACTTCTGGTTGACTCTCGCTGAGCCTCAGCGCGCTGATGGGGACATGGAAATGATGATAGTGTTGACCTCACCGGCTGTGGGAAGATTAATACAAGTAGCAAAAACACATTGAGCACAGACATGTGCTAGGTATTCCGGTGTTTGCTTGTGAACAGTTTCTCTTTCATTCTCACAACAGCCTGATGAAGCGGGAACTATGAGTGTATTGTTGCAGAAATCACTGCCCAGAGCAATGAAGTGATGTTCCCGAGGTTGCACAGCTGGTAAGTGTCAGATTGGAGAAGCTGGATTCAGACCTAGGAGTCTGGCTCCAGCGCTGAGGACATTTCATCACTTTAATCGGGCGTGTAAAGCACTCAGCACAGAGCCAGGCACGCAGGACCAGTAAGACTCAGCAGCTGCTGCTGTGGCTGTTGTTGCCGTTATTGGTGTTAGGATTGGCGTAAACATTATTTCCTCCTTCCTCTGACGTCCTCGAGTGCTTACTGTCTGCTCCTCTCAGGACATGGGGACTTGTTATTGTCTTGTGTCATTCTTCAATGGCTTCCCCTGTAGAAGACTTTTCACTCTGACCTGATTGCATTCTGTGCAAAGGCAGCACCCACCTCCTACTTAGGCCCAGCACAGAGCTCGGCCCTCAAGAGATGCCCAGTGATTTGGATCTTGGGTCCCTCTGGATCTTTTCCAGTGACCGAGTGATAGACTCTAATCCTATCCTGTAGCCACGAGGCCCATATCCATGCCTCTCTTTACTTTCTAGGGATTGGTGACTTTTGAGGATGTGGCCATGACCTTCACTCAGAGGTCCTGGCCCGAGGACCGAGCCCAAAGGGCCCTGTACCAAGAGGTGATGCTGCAGACCTGGACAACCTGCTCTCACTGGGCAGGTCCTCACCTATGCCCCCTTACGGAGCCTGCAGCCTCCTTCATTCTGCCCTTGCACACCAGGCCTGGCTAGCCCAGAAGGCATGGGGACCTGCCTCCCTCCTCCCCGCAGTTCCTGCCTTGTTTATGTCTCACATTTTGCCTGGTCTCCCTGTGTCTCTACCAGGGATTGGTGGGGCTAGAATCAGAGTCCCCTTCAAAACGATTTGAAACAAAGGGATAATTTATTGGCAGGGAGTGGGGATATATTGCAGAAGTCAAGGTCAGAATGTCCAGCTGGGCCCCGTGAGAGACTTAAATCAAGAACCGAATGGACCCATGATATGTCCTGGCCTCTGGATCTCTTGTAATGGCTTCTCGCTTTGTGTCTGCTCATGCCACTCTCTGCGAATTGGCTCTTTCTGCCACAGTGAGTTTGAGGCAAGGATTGGCCACCCGCGTTCTCCCGCTCTCTCTGAGGCCTCTAGATTCCTTGCCTCTACTCTTCTCTTCAAGCTTTACATCTTTACTCTCAACCTCTCTCTGCAGTTGGACTGTCCTGCGTGGGTGTCCTTGAGGCGGGAAATGGCCACCTGAGCCTACATTTCCCTCGACTTCTCATCCCAGTGCCCATTGCAGGCTGGCCTCAGTCTGAGACCCTTATCCCAGATTTCCACAGGAGGGAAGCTGGCTGGCCCAGCTTGGTGGGTAAGGGGGTCCCTACAGCCCCCACAGCAGGTACCCTTGGTGAAGAGCTATTCTCCAAGGAGGAGGATGAGTCAGACAGGTGCCCCGAAGACATTTGCCATGACTGTCACCTGGTATCTTTCGGAAGAGAACACAGTCTCAGTTAAAGGTTAAAAGCTTGGTTGGTCTCAGGTGCTAACAGGGTCATGCCTTATTTCCTAAAGACGGGCCAAGATCCTCCACTGGTGTGGGAGATGATTGTAGAGGATGCACAGACACATCGCCAAATGGCATTGGTGGACAGCCTGAGAAAGCGGTTCCTTTTTCCCCTTCTCTTGTGGGTCAATATAAAGAGAAGCAACTACCCTGCCATGAGTGCTGACCACGAGTCAGGCCTGCTCTGGGCACTGTCTGTGCGCCGCTCCTTTCATTCTCCCGGCATCTCAGTCCTTGGCAATGAAGGAAAATTTGGTCAGTGCAGTGAGTCTCAATTTAGAAGATGGCCTTTGATTTTGAGATGATGTCCCCTGCATTCTTTGGTTTTAAAAGTCTTTGGTGAAATGTTGGTGAGGGTAGATGATCCGTGATGTCTGAATAAATGTCCTTAACTGACCAAATGACTGTGTAGGTTTCCCAGGTTTTATTTTTTACTGGCTCATGAAATGCCCAAGTCTGGGAATCACCATGTTAGCCACTCCCACTGACCCCCATATTTTGAGGAGTAAATCCGCCCTCTCACGTCCCTTCATCTCCACAGCCCACTTTCTCCAAGGCTGCTGGCCCGTCACTGAGGTCAGAGATGTTTCCTCCTTAGTGTAGCACTCAGGAGCCCAGGCTCTGGAGCCAGACTACCTGGTGTCAAATCCCAGCTCTGTTACTCATGAGCTCTGTGACCCTGGGCAAGGTACTTAACCTCTCTGTGCCTCAGTTTCCTCGTTGGTAAAATGGGGTAATATAGCATCTAATTCACAGGACTGTTGCCAGAGCAAATAGATTAATGTATGAGAAAGCTTAGAACAGAGCCTGGTGCTCACTGACTCTGCGGGTCAGCAGTTATGATCCCTACTGTGATCATGATTGATTATAACTGATGTCATCACCGGCATCATCATCATCATCGTGCATGGCCTCGGCACCTTCTGGAGCCATGTCGTGTGGCTCTGTGGATAACCATCACTGACACCCGCTTCCTGAGGATGCTGTGAGGAAACTCAGAAATAGAATTATTCTTTCTTACGGGGCCTACAGCAGGAAGAACAGTGTAGTACTTTGCTGAGGCCCTAAGTGAGCCTTGGATCAATGAAGGGAGCATGTTATTGAACCTCTCTAGGCCTCAGTTTCCTCATCTGTGAAGGGGACAATAGTAGTACTGGCCTGATAGAATTATTATGTGGATTAAAATAGATTCATATTTGTAAAGCTCTTAGGAAAGAACTGGGCACACAGCAAGTGCTATCTACATTTTTGGTAAATAAAGTAAGTAATACATCCCACATCTTCCCACCCAAACTGTGGTCCTCCATTTACCAAGGAATCAGTCCGAATAGGAACTGAACAGAAATCTGAGGGCTCCCTTGTCCCAGATGGCCAAATGGCTCCCTCTGGCTGGGCTCCCCTGGCCTGAGCGTCCACACAGTCTCTCCCAGTGGGTCAGAGTGGTGGGCTCTACCCCTTCCCTGCAATAGTGGGGTGTGTGCCAGCATTTCGAGTCCTTCCTCACTGAGGGGGATCTAGCTCTCAACCCCATGCTTTCCTGAATCCACTTGACTCCAGCCTGGAAAACCTGGGGAGTTAGTGGAGGCTGAACACATGGACACAGGCCACCCTTTGCCACCTATCAGTCGGGGGGCCTCGGTTTACGTTCTCTCTCTCACCTCTGAGCCTCAGTTTCCTCATCTATAAGATGGACTGATAAGTTCCCCTTGGGGTTTAGACAAGGATTACGTGAAAAAGTTTTTGTAAAGCACCTCACCCCAAGCCTGTCTGAAGACAAGCACCCAGTGTAAGATAATGCAAATACCTCAATGACCACCCTATTGGGGGTTAGTCCCCTTTCTCCCTTCCCTAACCCTCTCCTGGTTTTATTTCTTTCCTTAGCTCTCAACACTTTCTAATAAACTTTATAATTCACTAATCTATGTTCATTGTCTTTCTCCCCAATAGAATGTAAATTCCAGAGAGCCAGGACCTTTGATTTGTTCACTGCTGAAGCTCCAGCACCTAGAACAGTGTCTGAAACGTAGTGAGCCCTCAGGAACACTTTGATGAACAAATGAATGAATGAATGAATGGCCTGTGGGCCCTAGTGTCTGTCATTTTACTGTTCTACAGAGTCCTCATGACTCCCCCCTCCTCCCTGCATTGATCAAGATGTATTTGGCTACATGCAACAGAAGACGCACTCAAACAGGTTTCCCTGAAGGACATTCACTACCTCACCTAGTGAGAAGCCCGAGGGGGGCAGCTCCCTTGTTGGTAGTGCCATCGAGGGTGTAAGGGTTCTTGCTGGTCCAGATGTCTGTCTTTCCCTGAGGGTGGCTCCCTCACAGGATGACTGGTGCAGTACCCCCTCCCCTCCCCCGTTACCCCTCCTCCCACCCCAGAGAAAATGCTTTCTCTTCAGCACGATTGTCCTGCCTGGGTCATCAGCCTACCTCAGATTTCTGACTATTGTGGGATGCCTTTCGCCAATTAATTTAGAACCATGCTTTTCAACCCTCCCTGCCTCCTCAGACTGCAGTGCCCCTTTGCTGTATTCTATCTGGAAACTCCTATTTCCCCATCAGGATTCAGCTCTGGAACACCTCCTCTGGGAAGCCTCCCCTGATCTCCTTCTCACTCTCCACTGGGCCTGGTTCTGCACTACTGACCTGTGCTCTCATCACAGTATTAGAAGTCCTCTCTTAGATCAAACGCAGCACACACAGTGTCATCATTACTCTGCACACTCACCCCCACTCTGCACTGCAAGCAGTGGTTTCCACTCCAGTCCCTCTGCCCCTGCCTGAGCCTTCCTTCCTGGATTTCCTTTGAAAGGTGTCAAGAGTCCAAGGATCAGAAAAGAAAGAAATTGCAAACATAGGTTTCAGAAATGTCAGAACACAGCAGGCACAGAGACACTATTTTCATCTTTGTTTCTCCCCTGAAGTGGTAATTTTGCTTCTTCTCTGTCTATATCCTAATAGCATCCTTTTACGTACAAGATTCCCTTCAGGTGACTGGGAAAAACCTGACACCACAGAGCCTACCATTTCTCAGCTGGCCTTGCCTGAGGTTGGAACCTTGCTCCAGGGACAACTGACTCAGGGAGCCTTAGGGGGGTCCAGACTGGGGTGAGCCAGGGATCAGCAAGTAAGGACCTTCAGAAATTCAAGAAAGGTGGCTGAAACCATGGCCAATCCTCCAGAAGAAGACTTTCCCTAGGAAAATGAGCCTTGAAAGCCATACTTTGGGGACAGATCGTAGTATGCGCTCAAGGGTTTTACAGCAGCAATTCTTTCCAGGAGATTCTGCCTATGAACGGGGTTCATCCAGACCAGGTAAAGACCCCATGCTTCATCTGGGGAAGAATTCCTACATATGCAAGGATTGCAGGGAAGAGTTTAAGGAATTTCATCCTTGTTTGACCTCAGCAGAGTCACGCTGGAAAGAAGCCCTGTGAGTCTAGCGGTGCCATAAAGAGTTTAGTGACAGAGCACACCTCATTCGATACTATCATCCATGCTAGGAAGAAGCCCAATGAGAGAAGTGAATGTGGAAAGGCCTTCACATGCCACTCTGCTTTTATTTAGCATAAAATAATGCACAGTAGAGAAAAACTCTTTGAATGCAAACAATGCAGGAATGCCCTTTGTGACAGCTCTTCCTTAAGTTGAAACATCAGCAGGCATACTGAGAAGCCCTATGAAAGCATTGAGTGCCGGGCAGCCTTTATCCATGGGTCACATGTCACGTGGCACCAGCATATTCACATGGGAGAGAAACCCTATGGGTGCATTGAGTGTGGGAAAGCTGTTTGCCAGAACAGATCCCTCATTCAGCACTACATCATCCACAATGGGGAGAAGCCACACAAGTGTATCAAGTGTCAAAAGGCCTTCCAGTGCAAATCACACTTCACGCAGCACTAGTGGATTCACACTGGGATAAACCCTTTGAGTACAAAGAATGTGGGCAAGCCTTCACCCAATGCTTCAATTTTCTCTTGCATAATAGAATTCACGCTTTGAGTGCAAAGAATGCGGGAAAGCCTTTTGCCGCAGCTCTTCCTTAATAGGGCACCTGAGGAATCACACTGGTGAGAAGCCTTAGGAATGCAAGGTTAGAAAGCATTTGGCTGCAGCTCAGTCCTCACTGAGCACCAAAGGA